TGAGCATAGTCAATAGTAATTGTTTATATTATATTTCAGTTTGATCAGGCATCAGCACTACCTTCAGTTTCACGGATCAGGTGGGGACTCAGACTAAGTACTACATTGATTCTAATTACGGTACCATGTTTGAGGTATGTATTTCATGTCACGTATCCGCTTGGAATGGTCGCCGGTCCATTCTGGGTTCTAGTGGCCTTAGTCTGCCCACTAGAGTGTGCACATGGTGTCCGGCATTTTTATGCTGCCAGATGAGGTAACGGTCATGGTTCACGTTCACGTGATGATATCAGGTTCATGTTCATGTTATTACCGGTTTCATGTTCAGGTTATGTATATACCAGGATCATGATATTGTTATTATATTCACTGTTTACTTTAGTATGAGTTTCCACGGAGCACAGTGTCATAGTGATCACGACCCACTTTTATTATGTTTTTCAGGTCAGGATGTCGGGCCTGGGGTGTGAGATGACGGATGCTTCAGGACTTTTATGTTTATGACTGTATATATATTTTAACGATACTACGTTTCCATTGATTTTGATTTTGACGAACTTATCTTTTTATCAGACTTTCAGATAATTAATGTTTTTCAGTAAACCGTAGATTTTTTTTTAAAGTTTAAAATAACGGTTTCTCAGAATAAGTCACGTTTTACGTAGCACCCCGAATCAGTTTTCGCAAATTAAAAGACTTTATTTTCAAATAACTTTGCGAAATTTACGCACTCTGATTTCACGATAAGGTGGGGTGTTACAATTGGTATCAGAGCACGTTTCTGCGTCTCTGAAAAGTTTTTCAGTCAGTAATTTTCAGAAAACCTGAACTGTCACCCTCACTCCTCGCCGACTACAGGTAAGAGCTGATTTATGTTTCAGTTATAAACATTTTACTTTGTCTATGCTCAGAAATTATAGATCAGGACTTAGTTAAGATGCTCGAATCAGGATCAGACTTTAGAATTCAGTATATTCAGATATGACTCTAGAATTCAGTATCTTCCGATATGACTTTAGAGTTCCTCAAGATTCATGACAGTATTTATCGGCCAATTTTTGCAACTCGTCAAGAGATTTGTATGCTTTAGTAATCAGTCAGAGTACTATTCACGTGTTCAATAATGTTGAACTTTTTCAATGTTCAGATGCCGCCCCGTAGGGAACCTGATCACCCGGCTCTTACTCTGGCCACAATAGTCGCACAGCTCCGCGACTATCATGCTGAGAAATTCTCCGGGCAGGGAGACCCCCGTATCGTGGACGAGTGGATTCAGGGCCTTGAGTTTATTTTCGAGGTCATGGATTGTCCAGACAGATATCGCGTAATCTGCACTCAGCTTCAGCTAATCGGTGATGCCCGGCTCTGGTGGAATGCCTACTGGAGCATGCGTCCCGGTGATAAGGCGGGATGTACATGGGATATGCTCAAGGAGCTGATCCGCGAGAAGTACTACCCCACCTACTACAGAGCAGAGATGGAGAGTCAGTTTCTGTCGCTCAAACAAGGTACTCGGTCTGTTGACGAGTACGAGAGAAAGAATTTACCAGACTTGCAGCTTATGTTCCTGACTTGGTTCACACCGAAGCCAGAGAGCACAACGCTTCATTGACGGACTTTACCCAGCAGTCCGTCATAACATTGTAGGTCACGGGACCCAGACGTACGCTCGTGCAGTTTCCATTGCCTAGGAGGTGGACGCCAGCATCAGGAGGGAGGCCATCCATGATCGTCCTCAGCCATTTGCTCCCGCCCAGTCATCTACAGCTCCATCAGCTCTACCAACTCCCAGCCGACGAAGGAGAAGAAGAGGAAGGGGAAGGGCGCATAGACAGATCGGAGGACCCGACAGAGGCAGCAGCAGGTTCCACAGTGCCCCACATGCGGACGTTTTCACCGAGGCGAGTGTCGCTTTGGCCAGGATATATGCTATTACTGTCATGAGCCCGGACACTTTGCTAACCGTTGTCCGAAGAAGGCACAGCAGCCCCAGCAGCCTCAGCAGCCACAACAGCAGCAGCAGCAGCCCCGTCAGCAGGCTCAGAGGCCACCACAGCAGCAACAGCAGAGGGGCAGACAGCAGGCCCGAGTCTACGCAGTCGATCAGGTTGAGGCCGAGCAGCAGCCAGGTACTATGTCAGGGATGATCATGCTTAATAATATTCTTGTGTTCGCTTTATTCGATACTGGAGTGACGCACTCCTTTATTTCACGACGATGTCTTGATGCCATCATAGTTCATACCTTTACCGCTGTCGATCCTCTCGAGGTGAGTTTAGCCTCGGGACGAAAGATAGTGACTTCAGCTAAAGCTTCAGATCTCAGCCTTTCCATCGGTGGTCGTTCATTGTCTGCCGACGCGTATGTTCTTGAGATGAAGGACTTTGACCTCATTCTCGGGATAGATTGGCTATCCTTTTATCATGCAGATATTAGATGTCATGACTGGAAGATTACTCTTTATCTTCCGGGAGACGAGTCGATCACTTTCTTTGGCACCAAGAATCGTTCCTTACCTCATGTTGTTTCCATGGTGAAAGCTACCAAATTGCTGCGACGAGGCAACTGCCAGGGTTATCTAGTGAGCCTTGTCGATGATTCTCAGAAACCAGAATCACCTCACGATGTCCCAGTTGTTCGTGAGTTTGTGGATGTGTTTCCAGACAAGCTTCCAGGAGGACCGCCTAACCGGCAGGTGGAGTTCTCTATTGATCTCATTCCAAGAGCCGGCCCAGTATCCAAAGCCCCGTACCGTATGGCGCCGAAGGAGTTGCAGGAACTTAAGGCGCAGATTCAGGAGTTATTACGACCCAGTTTCATCCGACCGAGCGTGTCACCTTGGGGAGCACCCGTTCTCTTTGTCAAGAAGAAGGACGGATCCATGCGCATGTGTATCGACTACCGGGATCTTAACCGGTTGACGATCAAGAACAAGTATCCGCTTCCCAGGATCGACGACTTATTTGATCAGTTGAGGGGAGCCTGTGTGTTCTCAAAGATTGATTTACGATCAGGTTACCACCAGCTGAAGATTAAGGAGTCAGATATCGCTAAGACCGCTTTCAGGACTCGTTACGGCCATTACGAGTTCATCGTCATGCCATTCGGCCTCAGTAATGCTCCAGCGGTTTTCATGGACCTGATGAACCGTATTTTCCATCCCTACCTCGATCATTTTGTTATTGTCTTTATTGACGATATTCTTATCTACTCGAAGAGCCAGAAGGAGCACGAGGAGCATCTGAGGGTGGTTCTTGAAACCCTCAGACGAGAAAAGTAATATGCCAAATTCTCCAAATGCGAGTTCTGGCTCCAGCGAGTAGCTTTTCTGGGTCATGTGATTACTCAGGCAGGTATCGAGGTGGATCCTTCTAAGGTCTCAGCTGTTCAGGACTGGTCGACACCGAAGAGTCCGTCCGAGGTTCACAGTTTTCTCAGTTTAGCTGGCTATTACCGCCGGTTCATAGAGGGCTTTTCCAAGATTGCCCTCCCGCTATCCCAGCTGACGAGGAAGTCTATAAATTTCGAGTGGACTGATCATTGTGAGGCGAGCTTTTAGGAGCTCAAGAGGAGATTAACTTCAGCCCCGGTGTTGACTATTCCTGATCCTTCTCAGAGTTTCACCATTTTCAGTGATGCTTCGAGACAAGGCTTGGGATGTGTACTCATGCAGGACGACCAGGTCGTTGCCTATGCTTCACGTCAGCTCAATCCGCACGAACAGAACTATCCGACGCACGACTCGGAGTTAGCCGCAGTTGTCCATGCTCTCAAGATTTGGGACGTTGCGAGATTTTCACAGATCATAAGAGCCTGAAGTACATCTTCACACAGAAGGAGCTTAACATGAGATAGCGTCGTTGTCTCGAGCTCGTTAAAGATTACGATTGCTTGATTCACTATCATCCGGGGAAGGCGAACGTCGTTGCTGACGCCTTAAGCCGAAAGGTGAGGGGTGATTTGACGTACGTCGTTACTCAGCAGAGTCCGTTGATTCAGGAGTTCGCCCGGATGCAGCTTCAGGCGGTCGACGCACTTCCCACAGCTCTCTCGGGGAGTATCAGAGCCAGCATCAGTGCTATGCGGCTTCAGCCGATGCTGAGAGAGAGAATTCGGTGGGAGCAGGCTTCTGACGAGTTCGTTCGTGTCATGGATGCCAAAGTCCGCGCCGGAGGCGTCGAGGGTTTTTAGCTAGGTGCCGATGGTGCCCTAGAGTTCAGAGGCAGGATCGTGGTCCCGAAAGTTGAGGCATTGCGAAAGGAGATATTATCAGAGGCTCATACCGCACCCTATTTAGCCCATCCTGGGAGCACGAAGATGTACCATGACCTGAAAGGGTCGTTCTGGTGGCGCGAAATGAAGAAGGATGTCGCTGAGTTCGTCAGAAGATGTTTTACCTGTCAGCAAGTCAAGGCCGAACATCAGAGTCCGACGGCCTCCTGCAACCACTGCCGATTCAGAGGTGGAAGTGGGAGGAAGTCACGATGGATTTTGTTACGGGATTGCCGAGGTCGTCTGGACATCACGATGCTATTTGGGTCGTGGCCGACAGATTGACTAAGGTCGTTCATTTCTTACCCGTTTCGATGAAGATGTCGTTGGATAAGTTGGCTGAGATATATACCCGTGGGATCATCCGACTCCACGGAGTGCCCGTCACTATCGTATCAGACAGAGATCCCAGATTCGTCAGCAGATTCTGGCACAGTTTACACGAAGCGATGGGCACGAAGCTAGAGTTCAATTCAGCCTACCATCCGGAGACATATGGTCAGTCCGAGCGGACCATTCAGACGCTTGAGGATATGCTTCGCGCTTTGGTTGTTGTCAGGGCTGCTAAGTGGGAGTCGTTATTGCCGTACGCCGAGTTTGCGTATAACAACAACAATCATTCTTCCATTCAGATGGCTCCTTACGAGGCACTTTACGGTCGCAAGTGTCATTCTCCTCTTTATTGGGACGACGTCGGAGAGCGACGAGTACTCGGTGTGAAGATGATCGAGGAGACAGCAGATCAGGTCGAGTTGATCCGGCAGAGACTCAAGACAGCTCAGAGTCGATAGAAATCTTCAGCCGATCATCATCGACGAGACATTCAGTTCGAGGTTGGCGAGCCAGCTTTTCTTAGGGTTAGTCCTATTCACGGAGTAGTTCGATTCGGGAAGAGAGGGAAGCTGCACCCTCGATTTATTGGCCCGTTTGAAGTTCTCGAGCGAGTAGGCAAGGTTGCGTATCGATTAGCCCTACCTCCCGAGTTATCAGGCATTCATAATGTTTTTCACGCATCTATGTTGCGTAAGTACGTGTGCGACCCCGATCATGTTATTCCCCACTCAGATATTCAGGTTCAACCAGATCTTTCGTACGAGGAGCGACCGGTAGCTGTACTAGACCATCAGGTTCGTCGGCTCCGGAAGCGAGATGTTCCCCTTGTGGGATCGCCACAGAGCTACTTGGGCGGCGGAGTCCAATATTCGTGCTCGTTTTCCAGATTTTCAGTTTTGATGTACATATTTCATGTTCCATGTACATATATTATGTTTACTTCAGTTATGTTATGAATTTCCGAGGACGAAAATTTTTAAGGAGGGAGGATTGTAATATCCCGTCAGTTTATTAATATAAATCATGTTTTAGTTCCGTTATATTAATATTTTTTAGTATTATTTTTCAGAATTAATTATTTCAGTCGAGATTATCGGAAATTATTTTCGACGTCCCGTTTACGTTCGGAATAATTTTGGTAATTAAGTATTATGCTTAATAATTAATTAAGCATAAAGAAGTGATTAGTAGGTAATTAATCATGCACTAAGTCATAAAGCCGTATGGATTTTTTTTCCAATTTGTGTAAAAATGCCGTGAGCTTTTGTTGGTAAAGTAGGGAGAAATTATCTTCTTTCCTAAGCAAGTAGGAGGTGTCACTAAGAGAGGTTATTAGTGGTGACTAATACAAGAAAATGATGACTAAGCATGTTGGATTAATAGGTGTCATGTAATGGTGAAGCCACCAAACCACCTTATTTTCCCTAATCTTCTTCCCATTCGGTTTAGTATATAAGAGAGTGTTGGGGGGAGATTTTCCCACTTCTTCAGCCTATATTAAGTGTACTTTCATAGTAGAGAGTTAGAGAGATTGAGAGAATTCATTTTAAGCAAGAAGGCTAACCGCGAGCTAGCACCACACGCACGCAAGGGTCGAGCACGCACGCTCACGCGAGCACCTAACAAGCGAAGAGGTAGTTCAGCTCTCATGTTGTTATGATTAATATCATCAGGTTTCGTTTCTATAGTAATTTAAGTTCATGTTCATGTCTCAACCATGTTTCGTGTTCGCCGTGCGTGAAGCTCACGTAGACCATGTCATGTTTAAGCTCTCCATCTCTCGAGCAAACTAGTGTGATTAAGTA